AAAGCAAAAAAAAAAAAAAAGAGAGAGAGAGTGCATAAGCAGGGGAAGTAAGTATGCAATATATCTGGAAAGACAGATTGGAGCCCTAATGATGACCACCAAAAGCTTCTGAATTCTGAACTTCTTAAAAGTCCTAAGTGAGGCTTTATCTTCCCACACCTCTACATACCTCCCCCAGGTCCTTTTGGATCTTGGCACCATTTGCATCATATCTGATTCTACCACAGCCTGGTGCTTAGAGAGGGAACAGGGCCTAGAACCTTGTTGGTCTCAGCTTCCTTTCCACGCTGGTGCCTCGGGCTATGGATGATCCCTATGTCCCATTCCTTTTCTCTCCCTCTCTCCCCAACATAAACCCACAGGTCAGGACAGCCTCTGCATGGGATCTACTTGGGACTTTGCTGCTTATCACCAGATGCAGAAAGCTCCTTTTTGACATCTGTGTCACATCTGTATAACTTCCATTGACTTTCACATAAGAGTCAGAGTTCTGGGTTTTTAACTAGAGAAACACCTGAATCACAATCTTTTATTGGCATCCAGAGAGCCAGATGTGCCTGCTACTGAGCACAGCACAGGTGGGCTTCTAGCCAAGCTGTCTCTGCCACTTGGAGTGCACCAGGGCATTCATTTATGATGATACCCTAGAAGATCCCACATCAGTGATTCCTCCTCCATCTGATATGTGCTGTAAGGTCCTGTGGGAAAAGATACTCATTGCAAATTGGAAGTACTAGCAACTTTCCAAGGTTGAGGAAGGAGAAACTAATCTATATTCTCCTACCATAACCCCTCATCTTCTAGTGACCATGGGAACAAGGTGCCAGTGGTGAAAGCTAAGACTAGGGGCACCATCATGAATCCTCCTATTACAAAACAGACACAAGAGGGCAGCAGGCAGGGCTGAGAGATGCTGGGTATGTCATAAAGGTCTTGCCACAGAGGAAACCAAGTACCATCATGCAGCAGAGGCAGTTCACAAAGTAAAGTGACAAAATGGAGAGATTAAAAAGAGAGACTGACTACTTCAGACCAATTCATTCCAATAGCACATCCCACTCTTTTCCCAAGGAAAGGCTCAGAGGTTGGTTTACTTAGCAATGTTCTATTTCCTTACCTGGCCCAGACATCACCAGCATGGATTCTGGAAGCAGGGATAGAAACAGAACCCCATCTTAAAAAATGGAGCCTTTTGGGACCAAGAACCCCGTGGAAATCCAACTTGGGTTTGAGTGTCTAATCCTACAGAGGTACTCAGAAGCCATAACCAATAGAGCTCATGTGGGTCCAGACAACCAGAAATGCAGAGAACTCAGCAGCCTTCAAGCCACCCAAGATAGACACTTTAGTGATGGAAGGGAAGACACAACTTCCAAGGGCCTATAACCTCAAACTGAGGGATAGGAACATGTTGAGTCCTCCAGGAGTCTAACCCATACAGGCTTTTCATATAGGCAAAATTGCTCTTCCTAATGACTGGCTCTTGTTTAGAGAGGATCACAGACACGTTTCCTGCTTCCCATTCACCTTGATTTGATATAGAAAAGAGGTCGCCCAATCACAACTCTGTTGGGAATGTATCTAGGGAGCTGGTGATTGCCTCTTTAAGTATTTGTAGCAAAGCTTGAATCTTTCTAATGGAGGGAGGACTATTCTGTAAGGACCCAAATTTGGTCTGAATAACTTGCCAAAGTACAGTCAACCACAACCAACTACTGATCCACAGAACTAGATTACAGGGCGTAAGGCAAACAATGAAATCTAAATAGATTTTGTTTTGCATATTTATCCAAGATTTTTAAAAAGTCTTAAGTCAAATAAGTAAAAACAATTTTATTTCAATAATGTTTAATTAAAATGCAGATTAGTTACTTATAGAATATAAAGAATAGTCTACAAACAAGTTTTTTGTTTAAAAAAAGGAAGGATTTATCTTCACTAGTAAAAAATTATCCAGAGCATTATTAAATATATCGATACTATAAAGATCAAACCACAGATTATAATGTGGTATTGTAAGCAGTAGGTGGAGGCAATGTCATTTATTAGAAAGATCTGGAATAATTTGACTTTCAAATACAAGACTTAAAAGAAGCATAAAGAAGAAGGTAAAAGGAAAGAGAAACCGTAAGAGATTCAATAAGGTTAAACTGTTTACATTCCTTCATGGTAGAATGATACTTTTAACTCCTAAAATTTTCTCATTATTAAGGCAGTTAGAAGGAGTATATACATAGACAGTTGGGCACAGGTGTGAGTTGAATATGATGGCATGATTAAAAAGATAAAATTAAGGATGAGAAAAAGGAATTCACTGGGAAAAGAGGAAAGTGAGAAGTAGAATGGGGTAAATTATCTCACGTAAAAGAGCTTTTACAGAGGAGGGAAACATGCGGAGCATGTAAACCTTACTCTCACCAGAACTGGCTCAAAGAGGGAATAACACACACTCACCTGAGTATGGAAATCTATGTTATCCTACAGGAAAGTAGGAGCAGAAGAGAATAAGGAGGGTTGGGGTGGAGAGACTGATAGAAGGGAGGTCGAATTGGGGGAGGTAAAAGTCAGAAGCAAAACCCTTTTGAGAATGGACAGGGTGAAAAAAGAGAAATGAAAGGATAAATAGGGAGGAAATAGGATTAGAGGGAAATACCCAGTAATCACATAACTGTGCAAAAATTACAGAAAGTTCTTCTGATAAAGAGGAATATATTTATTATACATTATATATATTACATATAAGAAATATTATGTATTTCTTAAATATATAGAGAACTGAGTCAAATTTATAAAAATAACAGCCATTCCTAAATTGATAAATGGTCACAGGACATGAACAGGTACTTTTCCGATGAAGTAATCAAAGCTATCTCTAGTCATATGGAAAAATGCTCTAAAACACTATTGATTAGAGAAATACAAATTAAAACAACTCTTAAGTTGCCACCTGATATCTATCAGATCGGCTGATGTGACAAAAAAGAAAAATGAAGGTGTTGGAGGGTGTGTGAAAATTGAGACACTGATGCACTTTTGGTGAAGTTATATACTGATTCAACCATTTTGTAGAGCAATCTGGAACTATATGCAAAGGACTATAAAACCATGCATACCCTTTTAACTAAGCAATACCACTCTTAGGTCCATATCCCAAAGAGATAAAAAAGGAAAAGGATGTATATGTACCAAAATATTTATAACAGCTCTTTTAGTAGTGGCAAAGAATTCAAAATTGAGGGGATATCCATCAATTGGGGAATGACTGAACAAGTTGTTTATGATTGCAATAGAATACTATTGTGCTATATGAAATGATGAGCAAGATGCTCTCAGAAAAACCTGTTAAGACCTACATGAACAGATGTAAAGTGAAATGAGGAAAACATTGTACACAGTAACAGCAATACTGTATGATGATCAACTGTGAATGATTTGGACTCAGTCAAAAGGCTGCACCCAAGAATCTAGAAGGCCGCAGGTTCCCCACCCCTGACTTAGCTATTACCAGCAATATAATGATCCAAGACAATTCTGAAGGACATGTTGAAAAATGCTATCCATCTCTAGAGAAAAAAACTGATGGGAGTCTGAATACAGATCGAAACATACTTTTTCTCTTTTTTGAGTTTTTTTGGGGGGTTCTATTTTCTTTCACAACATGACTAATATGGAAATGTTTTGCATGACTGCATACATATAACCTATATCAAATGGCTTGCCTTCCATTGAGGAGAGGAGAGGAGGGAGGCAGGGAGAGAGAGAATTTGGAATTCAAAAAAAATTTTAAATGAATATTAAAAAATTGTTTTTAGATGTAATGGGGGGGAGAAATACAATATTAAGTTAAAGAAAAGATTTGGAGTCAGAATTTTAAGTTCACATCCTGTGAGCTTCTTGAAAGTAGGGACTATCATTGGACTTTCTTTGTATCTCCAAGCACAGTGCTTGGCACCATAGTAGAAGTTTTATTGTTGTTCACTTGTTTTTCAGTCATGTTGGACTCCTCATGACCCCATTTGGGGGTTTCTTGGCAAAAATACTGGAGAGGTTTGCCTTCTCTAGCTCATTTTACAGATAAGGAAACTGAGGCAAAAAGGGTTGTGACTTGTCCAGGGTCACACAGCTAGTATGCAAAACCAGATTTGGACTAGCAGGAGCTTAGTAAATACTTATTGACTAACATCGTGGCTCTGCCAATTCCTACCTGTACAATGATCTCTCTGGTCTTCCATTTCCTCATTCATAGCCAAGGAGGTTGGATTAAATGATTTCCAATATCCTTTCTAGCTCTAAATGCAATGACCTTAATCTGTTTTCAATGGTTTAAACTGATTAATATATATTTTAAAGTATAAACAAAGTCACTGCTGAAAATAGGCATATGAATTAATGTTTTGCTATTATAAAAATTCAAATACTCAACTATGTACATGATTTCATGTGTTGAATCTTACAGATACTTTATATAGTCTCCATTTTTAAACTTTTTTTCCTATTTTGAGGATTACTTGGCTTCATTATTTCAGTTTTAAAAAGTTAAAACACACACCTGCTGGGGAAAAGAAAATTATTCCAATCTAGATGAGAAACTTTCTGAAATCTAGCACCTCATCTTTTCCATCTTATTTTTCCTTCATTTTTTTCTAAAATAAAAAGGCTTAATTTTACCTGCAAAACAAATTTTAAGAAGAGATGGATGAAATTAAAGCAATTGGAAAAAGGAAAAAGTTAACTTTGGCAAAAAGGGAAGAAGAAGGATTTTTTAAATTACCCATCACTTCAATTGAATTTTTTAAAGAGTTCTTAAAGTTGTTGACTGTCTGAACATTCTTTCTTCTGACCAAAACTTAACCCCAAAGCAGAGCTCTTGTGGACAAGTAGCTAAAAAAAAAAGCCAATTTCAAGCCAATGCAATATTTTAGATTCAGTTCTAATTGAAAAAACTCCATGATGGAAATAGAACAGAATGTGGTCAACAACAGCTGCAATGTCAGTGCATCATTTATTTAGTCAAGGACAAAAGATTGAGCAAGCCGTCTTCATTCATCTTTTCCTCAGCTGGTTTAGACTGGGATAGGAGAGAAAACACAAATGCAGTGAGCGAAGTCTGACCTTCAGCCATACCCCCGATTCCCCATAAGAATTCAAAGAGCCAATAAGAAAGACATATGCACCACAAGGTCACTGAGGAGTTACTGACCAGCCATGGAGTGGGAATTTCTATTATCTTGGACCAAGCAAATATGGACTTTTCCCTTTCCTTCTGAGTGGCGCTACTTAAGGATTCAGCTCAAATTTATACATTGCATTTATCCATTTAAAAAATCTCCAACACACCTCCAACTATAGAAGTCCTCTTGCAGGAATTGCCACAAACTTTCTGAAGACAAATAGCATTGGGCTCCTCCAATAGTGTAAATGGCCAAGTTCTATCTATTCCCAAATCGAAAAGCCTATCTTCTGATTGGAAAGGAAGCTTTTCCTTATCCTCCTTAATTCTACTCCCTTTAAAATTTATCCTGCATATACCATTATCCCTTCCACATCATGATTTTCCCCATTGCTATTTTGATATATTATGGGTCAGCATAAGAAATTAAATAGGAATTTGGGGGGAGTTTTGCAGAAACCACAGACTACACCCAAAAGCCACCAGATGACACAGAGCCTATGACCAAATACTTAACACAAATTTTACAATATAGTACTGTAAACACCCTATAAAAAAGAAAAAATTCAGACCTTCTCTGATATGAAGGGAAAGCCAAAAGATTTTATGTGGATTTTCCAGATCGAAGAGGTGCCCCTAATCCCCTCTATATGGAAAGGATAACTGTAGCTTGTGTGAACATACAGTTGTTTGCATGTTTTCTCTGCCTTTAGATTGTGAGCTCCTTGAGAACAGGGACTGTCTTTTGCCTTTCTCTGTACCCCCAGTGCTTAGAACAGTGCCTGAAATATAGTAGGCACCTAATCAATGTTGATTGACTCTAGGATTTAGATAAGTATGTGTTAGAGAAAATCAAGGAGTATGTTGAAAGACAGCAAATGTAGTAAAAAAGATAATGAATTTTGAAATCAAGGGGTCCAAGTTTTAGTCCTGGCTCAAAGGTCACCTATTAGCTGTGTGACCATGGGTTAAGTCACTTCACCAGAGCCTCAGTTTCCTTGTCTAAAAGAATTGAAATAAAAATACTTGCACTACCTCCCTCACAGGACTGGGGAGAGGAAAGCACTTGGCAGAACTTTAAGATGCTACAGAAATATTGAGTAAAGAGGTATATATGGAGCATTCTGGCTGCTGGTACTAGAGGATATAGAGAATCCTAGGTCACAGGAGCATCCATTTGGAGCTAAAAGGACCTTAGAGATCATCTAATCTAACCACTTCTTTGTACAAATGTATAAAATGAAGTGTAGTAAAGTTAAGTGCTCAAGATCACAAAGTAAGTGGCAGCACTAGAGTGCCAACCACAGATCATAGATTCCAAGCTGGAAGAGACCTTAAAGGTCATCAAGACCAACCCTCCCCCCAAGGGGCAACTGGGTGGTACAATGGATAGAGCACCGGCCCTGAAGTCAGAAGGACCTGAGTTCAAATCTGGCCTCAGACACTTAACACTTACTAGTTGTATGACCTTGGGCAAGTCACTTAACCCCATTGCCTAGCCCCCCCCAAAAAAAAAAAGAGCAACCCCCTCATTTTACAGGTGAGGAAACTGAGGCTAGCTGAAGTTCGGTGATTTGCCCAGGATCATAGTTAATAAATGATTAAGGTAGGATTTGAACTCAGGTTCTCTGACTCCAAATTCAGTGTCTTCGCTATTGTACCACACTGCTTCCCAAACACAAAAGTCAAAAGGAACAAAATACATAATGGATGCCCCTGAAGAACTTATATTAATTCAATTAAGTTAACTTAATTAGTTAATTAAGTTAACTTAATTAAGGCAAGTGGAATGGGAGAAAGTCCACTAGTCATAATAGTAAAGCAGAATGTTAAATAGAGACTATATAAGCCAGTATTCAGTGCCTTCAATGTCCTAAGGCCAGGCTACAATTCCTAGGAACTGTCATGGAGTGAAAAAAGAACACGAGTAGGGGCTTCAGCTGCAGTTTCCTTCATTGCTAGGCTATGGGTTGAATAGCTTTGCATTTTACTACCTCACTCTTGGAGAAAAAAAAGTAATATATCCCCAAACAAAGCAATTTATGTACCTATCCTGGAGATATAGCATAAAAATAAGCTTGGTTTTTTTCTTATCGTGGTTGAATAAGGTAGAGTCTGGAAAAAATTTGGCAGTCTCATTTTCTGGACTCATAGTCAATAATTTAATTGACACCAACCACCAGAACATAATTTTTAATGGAGTATTATAACTAGTTGAGATTAAGTAAAAACCTCAGAATAACTATAGTTTCAAGTGATTTTTAAAAGTGTCATCTAGAAATAACCATTTTAGTAGTCATAACTCTAATACTGTCAAATATTCAAAAATTGAATCTATCCTTAGGATTAGTGTCTCCAGAAGGGAAAATTTCTGAATCTTCATTAAAATAATTCTTAGAAAAGTAGACTCCATTTTGTTTTGTTTCTTCATTCTCGTGGTTCCTCCCATTGGTTCCAATTCTTCTTTATATCATGACTAATGTGAAAATATGCTTAATATGAATGTATATAAGTAAAGCCTACATCAGATTGCATGCTGTCTTGGGGAGGAGGGGGAAAGAGGAAGGGGGAGGAAATTTAAAACTCAAAATCTTATAAAAGTGAATATTAAAAATTAAAATAAATTAATTAAATATATATATATATATATAAGTAGACTCCACTACATCTCCTCAAGATAGCATTTCCCTATCTTAATTTGGGGAAAGCTGGACATTTCCATAAAAGCTTGTGTATTTCTATCCATATACATAGAAAGAACTATGGAGTCTGAATGCAGATCAAAGCATTCCATTTCCACGTTTTGTTGTTTTTTTCCCATTTGTTCTGATTCTTCTTTCACAACAGGACCAATGTGGAAATATGTTTATGATTGTACATGCATAACCTTAAAAAAATGGGTATTGTATTTTTTTCAAGGGTTTTTTCTGCATCTATTGATATAGTCATGGTATTCCACACCCATAGTCTCCCACCTCCGCAAAAGAAAGTTAGGAGTTTTACATGGATATAGCACAGTTTAGAGTTGTTCAGTTGTGTTCAACTCTTTGTGATCCCATTTGGGGTTTTCTTGGAAAGATACTGGAGTGGTTTGCCATTTCCTTCTCCAGTTCATTTTACAGATGAGGAGACTGTAGCAAACAGAGTTGAGTGATTTGCCCAGGGTCACACAGCTAGTAAGTGTCTGAGACCAGATTTGAACTTAAGGAGATGAGTCTTTCTGACTCTAGGCCCAGCACTCTAAGCTCTGTCCAAACATGTATATGGACTATTTTAGACTTTAAGAGGTCCTCCCTTAATGGAGGTATTCAAAGCAAAGGTCAGACAACCACTTGTCAGTTATATTAATTATAGAAGGGATTCTCATCCACTCCATGCCTGAGTCTAATAGCCTTTGAGTTTCCTCCTCATCTCAGAGTCTGTGACTCTTCCTTATACTAACTCTTTGAGATAGAAGCTGGGAATGCATGGGCGGGCAGGGCTCAATCTGGATAAACAATCATATGCCTTTCCTGAAAATACACCAACAGAAAGGAAAGGAGGCAAAGAAACATTCTGGCAAGCAAAAGGAAACCCTTTGTGAACTTAACAAATGTATAATGGAGATTGTCCAAAACAGAACTAAAAATCAGCTGTGTTCTCAAAGACCCAAAATCTGAACATGATAACTGAATAATTTTAAGTCTTCAATTTTAAGGTTTTCAGACTGGCAAGCTAAATTTCATATTCTATTTTGACATTTGGCAAGTTGAGTTTAGAATTTCTCTCCACCTTGGGGAGAGGCAATGAACCGAAATAGAAAGAACAGGTCATGCAGGGGTGGTTAATTTGAGTAGCTACAATCCTCTGATGAGGCAGGATAATGTAGTGGCTAGAGCAAAGGTATCATGCTCCCAGCCTGGCCTGAACTAGATTAAAATGTAATTGGGAAATATTTATTTAACAAAATAAGTAAAAATATAATACAATGTATATAATGTTAATTTGTATTTTCTAAGTCAATAGGCTTTCTGTAGGGATGTTTTCTATTCGAGTTTGACCATCAATGGTATATTGCACTAGACTTGGAGTTAGGAAGACCTAAAGACACTTACTAGCTGTATGACTCTGGACAAATTACTTAATGATGATAGCTAACACAAATATAATGCTTTCAGGTCTATAAAACATTTTACAAATATTCTCATTTTATACTCAAAATGATCCAGAGAAGTAGATGTTATTATCACCCTCATTTTACAGTTGAGGAAACTGAGACAGAGGTTGTGACTTGGCCAGGGTCACACAGCTAGCGTCTGAGACCAGATTTTAACTCCAGTCTTCCTAACTCCAAGCCTGACTTCAGATCCAAACTCAAGAACATGCTCCAGAACCAGCATTCTATGCACTGCGTCACCTAACTGCTTGGCAGCTTTCTCCTTTCCTTCTCTGTGTCTCAGTTTTCTCATCTATAAAATGAGATGGATGGCGCTTGATGGCCTGTAAGGTCCCTTGTAGGTCTAGACCTGTGATTCAATGACTAGGATCACTGTCCCCAAAAGAATGCTTTAAAAAAAAATAAGTACCTCTGCATTTGCAGGTCACAGAATGAATTTAGTTTGGTGGATTGTTCCTTCCAAACGTCCTAAAATTGATGCAGAGAAGAAACAGTCGCTACTTATTATTATTTTGCCCTACAACATAAGAAGATAGACCCCAGAGAAGAGGAAGAAAAGCCAGAACCTACCAGGATTTCCTTCTCAAGATCTTTCAGAGCTTGAACATCCTTCTTAAAGTTGTCCAATTCTTGAAGAACGCTCTTATGGAACTGTTCTATCTTATCTAGCCTGATTTGTGTGGGGAAAAAAAAAAACCACAAAATTAGTTATGAGGAGTTTGTACACCACAAGAATACAGCCCACTCTTCCTGCTGTAAAAGAGAATAATGCTGTTGAGTGCTCAGATCAGCAGCTCCACTCCCAAATTATTAGTTCATTTATATCCTTCTCTAACCTCACTGCCCCCAAATTTCAGGACATCACTAATTTTGTTTGGGCATTGAAAATTTAATGTCCTGTTATCGAAACTCCAGTTCAAATTGTCATGTATATACTGTACATAGTATATTGTCTTGTCACTTTGTACATTTGCAACATTTCTCAAATATACCCCAGTCTAGTACTGCTACCACTTTAGTGAAAGCCCTCATCATCTCATACCTGGACTACTGGATTTTTGGACTATTTTTGAACTACATTTTTAGACTACATTTCTCAAATATACTCCTTCTCCCATCTAATACTGCTACCACTCTAGTGAAAGTCCTCATCATCTCATACCTGGACTACTGCAATAGCCCAATGGTGGATGTGCCTGCCTCAGGTCTCTCCTAGACCCACTTAGCAGTCAAATTTCTATTAGTAGCTATCCTTTCCTCCCCCACTCCACCCCCATTTTAAAACTTATTTGTAGAAAGGGAATTGTAGGACCTAAAAAAGAAGATGGGGTTGATATGTGGCAACATCAAGGAATCACAGGTGGACAATACCCTTGAAATGCTGGGAAGAAAGCTTCTAGCAAATTGGTTGGATTTCAAATGTCTGAGAGTTGCACAGGATTGATGAGAATGGAGAGATTGAAATCTGCACTGCTGGGAGGAACTCTCAAATTTTTTTAATTAATTAATTTATTTTTAGTTTTCAACATTCACTTTCATAAGATTTTGAGTTCCAAATTTTTTCTCCATCTCTCCCCTCCTCCCAACCCCAAGATGGCATGCAATTTGATATAGGCTCTACATATACATTCATGTTGAACCTATTTTCACATTAGTCATGTTGTAAAAAAGAATTAGAACCAATGGGAGAAACCACAAGAAAGAAGAAACAAACAAAAGAAAAAAAGAGGGAGAGCAAATAATATGCTTTGATCTGCATTCAGACTCCATAGTTTTTTCTGGATGTGGACAGCATTTTCCATCATGAGCTCTTTAGAGTTGTCTTGGATCTTTGCATTGCAATGGACTGTCCCCCATTGCCTGGAACTCTCTCTTCTCATTTCAACCTCAACCACAATCCCATCTTCTTTCCCAGTCCTCCTTAATGTCAGTGCCTTCCCTCTGAGATTACCTTCCTATCCTGTACATATATTGTCTTTACATAGTTATTTGTAGATTGTCTCCCCCATTAGACCATGAGGACCTTCGAGAGCAGGGGCTGATTTTTGCCTTTCTTTGTATCCTGAGCACTTTACACAGGGCCTGGCCCATAGTAGGGAATTAGTAAATGCTAGCAGCATGACAGACTTCATTCAGAGCGACTTGTTCTCCCAACTGTCCCAATTGTTTATTTGTTTAGTGTTTGCCTTATCTCAGTATCCAAGCTTAAGAACCCACCATTTAAGCAGGAGTCTGAAAACTAAGCCCTCTTTTCTTAATCCTATATTGGCTCCTAATGACTCTTTATATTAAAACATTGAGCCCTTCTTCTAAAAGAACAAATGAATGAATGAAAAATGTGCTAAGTACTGGGGATACTAATTCAAATAACTAATTCGAATAACTAACTCAAATAACTAATTCGAATGGGAAAGGCTATATAATGGGAAGTTAGAGTTCAGGATAGAGGAAGACAAGGCTTGGAAATGAACAGAAAACAGCATGGTGACCAAGTTCCACACAAGTAAAATCTTACCTGTTATAGCCCAGGTTCATGGGGACACAGTATGAGTAGTGATGGGAGAAATAAGATGATTTGGAAAAGGCCACAGATTCTTTTCTAACAGTCCTTTACTAGAAATCAGGAAACCTGTATTCTAGTATCACATTGGTCACTTTATGAGATGCTGGGCAAGCCAGGTAACTTCAATGTCTCAGTTTCCCCAACAGTAAAATGGAGACTCTCATTCTTGCTCTACATACTTTGTATGACTTTTATTAAAGTGAAAAAATATGAAAGCTCTCCAAGGAAAAGTAGTAAAAGCATTATTTAAATATTACCAAACTCTACACTTAGAAAGGAAACCTACCTACTACCCCTTCTGTTTTCTGCCATTATATGCCATTATCTTTCTTGAACACTGGTCTCTCTAAGGCTCACCTCCATATACCATAGCTGTTGCTTTGTCTTTTTGTTTTTTAAGGTCATTTCCAGAAAAACATATATGGGTTCTAATGGAGCTAGGCCAGGGGTGGGGAACCTTTGGCCTGCAGGCTACATGTGGCCCTCTAGGTCCTCAAGTGTGGCCCCTTCAGATTCAGTCAAAGGGACATACTTGAGGAACTGGAGGGCCACATGTGGCCTTTACGCCGCAGGTTCCCTACCCCCAAGCTAGGCTATCAGCAGTGCAGACCACAACCCATACTGTCCAACTTTTATCAATCTCCAGTCCAGAAACAACAATTTCTTTTCAATTTAATAAAAATGATATTTTTTTTTTTTGCTTTTTTTTGGTGAGGCAATTGGGGTTAAGTGACTTGCCCAGGGTCACACAGCTAATAAGTATCATGTGTCTGAGTCTGGATTTGAACTCAGGTCCTACCAACTCCAAGGCTGGAGCTCTATCCACTGTGCAACCTAGCTGCCCCAAAATGATCATTTTTAAAAATAAATTTTATTGCTATCTTTTTTATATGTATTACCTACATTTCCCAACATAATCCTCCCTGCTTCCTCTCCCAGAGAGTCATCATTTGTAAAGACAGCAATAGGGCCTGTGATTTCATTAATATAGGGGACTCCTGGATGAGGAAATTCCCTTTGCTGATGCAGTTTGGCATCCCTTCTGCAATCTCTAGTCCTTGAGAGAATTCCCTAAAACACTGAGAAGTTCAGAGACTTGCCCAGGGTCACACAGCCAGGGTATGTTAAAGGCTCAGCATGAAAGAAAAAGGAGAGAAATAAAGAGAGGGGAGAAAAACAAAAAGGGTGAGGAGGAACAGGAAAAAGAAGAGAAGAAAGACAAATGTGACTACTACCATGTGGTAGTGATAGGGCAAGTTTCTTAAGGTCACAGATTTTTTCAATTTGCTTTCAGTCTCTACTCCATTTAATAAAGTGACTGCTGCACTCAATTTAATGAGTATTTACCTACATTGATGTATCTGGTTTAAAAGCGTGGTTAACTTGTCAGATGCTTTCATAGCATTTTGGAAACAAACATCTTTTTTCTTGTTCCTAGACTGAATCATAATCAAAAGGTTAATTAGATTTACATCATACAGTTTTTCTTCATTGAAAAGGTTCTGGGACAGGGGAAGGTGGAGGGATTAATGTGGAAACTGATCAATAAAAATGTGTAAAAAAAAAAGCTAGGCAAGATATAACTAAAAGCACCATATTTTCACTTAAAGGAATGATGCCAGAATGCTAATTGATAACACTATTGATCCGTGAAGACAAGAACAACATATAGCAACAGAAGACTCATGCTCATTTCATCAGTACATGCTGTCAGAGTCTATACTTTGTCTTAACTTGTATAATTTTCTTAGAGTGACAGCATTTTAACATTGGAAGGGACCTTTGAAAACATTTCCGGTACATTTAGCTAAAATGCTAGCAACACTCTGAGTTGTTTTAAAGAAAAATGGCAAAGGTTTTCAAAGATTGTTGTAATTGCTCACTAATATTTTGGCAATATATAGGATGAGGCCAGAAAATTACCTTAACCATTGCTGTGGACAAACCCTTCAGAAGGCAACGAATCATCAAAGACTGCTATCTAACACTGGTTAGATAACATTAAACCTTCTATATTTAACCTTTCTTAATCACCCCAGCTGCTACTTCAACTTCCCTTTCTAAAATATTTTTTTTATGTTGGGTCTATTTTGTGTATACTTATTTGTGCATCTGTTGTCACTTCTGCTAGAATGTAAGCTCCTTGAGGATAGTAACTGTTTCATTTTTGTCTTTTTATCTTGACCCCTAAAACAATGTCTGAACCACACAAGTGCCTAATAAACACTAGTTGCTTAATTGATTCTAAAAGGGCCTACAGAAATTGTAGTTATTCATACTGCAAACAGAACATGAAATTCCCATGTAAGCAATTTTTTACAAAGATTCAAATTGCTCTTATGCTTGCTTCCAAGGTGTTCCACTTCTCAGCCTGTCTTTAAACTTGACTCATAACCATTCTCATCCAATCACCTCTTTCTTGTTCTACTATATCAAACTTCCTCTTGGATAACATTATTTTTGTATTTTCTAATCTTCTTTTCCTACCAGCACACAACAATCATCCATTCTTATTAAAGTAGTTAGTATCACTGCAGTGTTAATGAGGACATGGGGAAGAGTTCACTTGCATGGCTCTGGTTAGCTTCATTCTACAGCCCTCCTAAAAATGGAAAACACTGGTCAGAAGGTGGACTAGGTGATTATATGTGTCAGAGTAAGTTTACTACTCCGCCCCCTCAAACTCAAGTAACTATTCAACAGACATGCAGATGAGTACAGAAAACTAGGCTTCACAAAATTAGAAAACTGGTCATTATTCAGTCACCGCAACCTAATCTTTTACTATGTCGACCATGACTATGCCAACCTCTACTAAAGTCCTACTGGAGTGTTTCATCATGATATGGAGGTGACCCTGGGCTCTCAAAGGCCATATCAGTGGAGCACAATTTTGTTTGTCCTACCATGTGGGACAGGCTTACAACATTGGCCTTGTGAGAGAGTGTGTCCTTATCCACCACAGCCATCTTGGTGTAGAGAAGCTCAGCACTAGATTAGCCAGAAAGTGATGGGTTAGCTGGCTAAGACAGCCCATAAATAATTAGAAAGGATTGTGAGTTGCATCAATGAAGGGAAATCTAGATCCTAATGAATTCATCAAAGTGTCAGAGTCAATATTACCTCAAACTTCTTCTTCAATTCTTTAGTAAAATTTTCAAAGGTAGAGATGACGGCCGACTCTCCTAGACTGTCTGGTATGGCCTGTAAGGCTAAGTATTTCTTAGAATAAGTTGAAAGACACTGTAAAAATTTGCATTAAAAACAAACATTTTCTGAACATCTAATATGTGCCTATTGCATAATATACCCCCAAATACAAATCATGACTGATTAATTCAGTGACCAAACAAGATTCCAGAGCACCGAAGATGAGGCGTACTACTACCCACCTCCCGGCACAGAGTTGATGGATGCAAGGTGCAGATTGGACATAGTTTTTGGACGTGTCTTATTTTTCAGACTGACTATGTGTATTTTTACAAAAGTTTTTTTTCAATGTTAGAGGTAGAAGAGAGAAAAAAATAATTTTGTTAATTATAAAATTAAATGAAAAACAAGAGTCATGGAACAAGAACCAATCTGAAGCATGCTGGCATTTGTTGTTGTTCAGTCATTTCAGGCTTTTTGTGACATCATTTGGGGTTTTCTTGGCAAAGATATCGGAGTGATTTGCAATTTCCTTTTCCAGCTCATTTACAGATGAGGAAACTGAGGCAAACAGGGTTAAATGACTTGCCCAGGATCACACAGCAAGTAAGTGTCTGAGGTCAGATTTGAACTCAGATCTTCACCTAGCATTACTTGTTACACACTTTGCTTGGATGTTCCCTCTTCTCAAACTATCTCTTTTCCAAAGTCATCTCAGCAGCTGCCTAGCTACCAGACCATGTTCTGAAGGTTCTTCTGCTCTGACACCACATCCTCTCCTGATTGATGATTGCCTCTCTGAGGATATTATTTCAGCAAAATCTCAGCCATGATTCATTTCACTCCCTCCTCTCCAACTACCTCCTCCACAGCCTTCTTGCTAACCACTTCACTGCCCAATCTCCTACTCTTTCAATTCAAACTCCTTCCCACAGGGAAACTGATAGAAGGGAGGGCAGATTGGGGGAGGTGGTGGTCAGAAGCAAAACAATGGTGAGGAGGGATAGGGTGAAAGGAAAGAGAGAAGGATAAATGGGAGAAAATACAGGATGGAGGCAAATAGTTAGTAATCATAACTGAATGTGAATGGGATGAATCACTCATAAAAAGGAAGTGAATAGCAGAATGGATTAAAAACCAGAATCCTACAATGTGCTGTTACAGAAAATACACTTAAAGCAGAAACACACAGAGTAAAGGAAGGGGGTTGGAGCAATACCTGTTATGCTGATAAAAAAAAAAGCAGGGACTGCAATCATGATCTCAGATAAAGTAAAAGCAAAAATAGATCTAATTAAAAGAGCTACAGAAGGAAACTACATCCTGCTAAAAGGTACCATATACAATGGAGTAATATCAGTACCAAACATATATGCACCAAATGGTATAGCATCCAAATTCTTAAAGAAGTTAGATGAATTATATTAGGAAATAAACAGTAAGACTATACTAGTGGGATACCTCAACTTTCCTCTCTCAGAACTAGATAAATCTAACCATTAAATAAACAAGAAAGAAGTTAAGGAGGTGAATAGAATTTTAGAGAAGTTAGATATAGTAGACCTCTGGAGAAAATTGAATGGGGATGGAAAGAAATATACCTTTTTCTCAGCAATGCATGGCACCTACACAAAAATTGACCATATAGTAGGGCATAAAAACCACATAATCAAATGTAGAAAGCTAATGTGACATAAATTTGTAGTGGACTCAGCATAGTTTTGTAATTTTCTCCAGCTTTGTTCAGTGACCCAAGAATAGGAGTGAAGGCAGCAGATGGTGGGAATAATCCAAGTTAAAGGGATGTTAGATGGAGTATAGAGAAGCAGATTGATATACTCCCTTCAGGAACAATGACATATTTGGTCATGGTTCCATAACTGGGGGGATGAGGAGGAATTTAGATTGAATATTTCTGCCTTTCTACATTCACAAGTGATCCCATTTCTTCTTTTCTTCTCCAAAAGATTACCTTCCCTATTATTCCCACTCTCTCAAATATCTCCAATCTCTCCCTGTCTACTGCTGCTTTCTTCTGCCTATAAACACACTCATTTCTCTCTCATCCTCAAAAAACCCTCACTTGATCATAGCATCTATCCTCAATAGCTATTGTCCTATTTCTCTCCTCCCTTTTGTGAGTAAACTCTTTGAGAAGGCCTTCTACAATGGAAGTCTCCACTTCATTTCCACTTTCTCTCTTAACTGAAATAGCTTTCTCCAAAGTCACCAATGCTTTTCCAATCCTCACCCTTCTTGAATCCTCCTTCCATCTCTCTAAATTTTTGTGACACTGATCCCTCTTGATTCTCTTACATGTTTGAACACTGCTTCTCAGTATCCTTTGCTGAACTTTAATCTAGCTCATACCTGCTAACCCTGGATGCTCCTCAAGGCCCTCTTCTTTTATTCTTCTATGCTATACTATTCTATACTATACTATTTTGCTTGGTGACCCATTTATTCCCATAGATTCAATTATCATCTCTATGCAGATGATTCTCAGGTCTCTTTATCCAGCCCTAACCTCTCACCCAGGCAGCTAGTGACTCAGTGGATAGAATGCTGGGCCTGAAGTCAAGAAGATTCATCTTCCTGAGTTCAAATCCAACCCAAGATACTTACTAGCTGTGTGACCCTGAGCAAGTCTCTTAACCCTGTTTGCCTCAGTTTCCTCATCTGTAAAATGAGCTGGAGAAGGAAATGGCAAACCACTCCAGTATCTTTGCCAAGAAAACGTCAAATGGGGTCATGAAGAGTAGGGCATGACGGAAACAACTGAACAACAACACCTCTCTCCCAATCTCTGGTCTCATATCTCCCAACAGCTGCCTATTGGATATTTTGACTAGGATGTCCCATAGACATCTTAAACTCAACATGTCTAAAACCAAACTCATTATCTTTTCCCCAAAACTTTCCCCTCTTTCTAATTTCCTTATTATTGTCAAGGGCACCAACCATCCCCACATGCTCAAAACCTAAACATATGCTAAAAACCTCAAATCTTCAGTTGGCACATCCAATGTGCTGCGAAATCCTATTGATTCTACTTTAACAATATCTCTCCTGTACATGCCCTCTGCTCCAACACTGCTACCACTCTGGTACAGGTCCTCATCACCTCATGCCTGGTCTATCACAATAGCATATTGGTTGGTTTCCTTGTCTCAAGTTTCTCCCCACTCCAATTCACGTTCCACTCAGGCACAGGTCTGACCATGTCAGACCCTCTATTTAATAAACTTCAGTGGCTCCCCATCACCTCCAGGATCATGTATAAAATCCTCTGTTCAGCTTTTAAAAGCTTTCATAACCTTTCCCCAGTACCTTTCCAATCTTGTAATATCTTTCTTCCCTCACTGTACTCTAAGATCTACTGATGCTGGCTTCTTTGTTGCTCTGTACACAAGATACTCTATCTCCAGACTTTGTGCATATTCATTTGCTGTCCATGTCTGGAATTCTCCCCTCCCCCATCTCTGTCTCCTAGATTCTCTGTTTTCCTTGAAGTCCCATATAAAATCACATCTTTTACAAGAAGCCTTACCTAGTATCCCTTAATGCTAAGGCCTTCCCACTAAGATTACTTACAATTTCTATATATATATATGTGTGTGTGTGTGTGTGTGTGTGTGTGTGTGTGTGTGTGTGTGTGTATATGTATATGTATGTATATATGTATATATACACGTATATACACACATGTGTGTATGTATGTATATATACACGCATATACACACATGTGTGTATGTATGTATATATTTGTGTATGTATACATGTTTATGTATATATTTGTGTGTATATTTATATATGTATATGTGTATGTGTACATGTGTATGTGTGTGCATATATGTATATGTGTGTGTATGTGTGAATGTGTGCGTATAGTGTTTTATATATATATGTATGTATATAGTGTTATATACAGGTTGTCTCCCTCATTAGATTGTGAACTCCTTAAAAGTAGGGACTGTTTGTGGCTCTTTGTCTCCCTAGCACTTAGCAGAGTGCCTGGCTCATAGTAGGTACTTAATAAATGTTTGGTGATTCTACTTTGACTTTCTGGACCAAAGTGTACTCCTCTGGCCACCACTCCCCTTTGCTTGTTGTTCCCACTGGAATCTAAGCTCCTTGAGGGCAGGAAGGTATCTGGTTTTGTAATTGCATCCTCAGCATTTAGCACATAGTAAGCACTTAATAAATGCTTTTTCATTCATTTTCTTTAATTTCTTTTGTAATAAGCAAGCTCTAAGCAAAACTTTAAAGTGAGTGAAATTTATCTTCAGAACTCTTACACTCTCCTCTTACAATATACTTCCTCTACAGTATCCTTCTAGTCAGGCACCAGTCACTCACATTGGCCAGGTTCAGAAGTCAGCCTTTCTAAACACCAAATTAGCATTTTACCTTTAACTTTGCTGTATGACCAATGTTACCTGCAGGAACTGGGTTTTCTCCTAGCATTAAGGCAACAGGGGAAAATGGTGTGTGGTCCTCTTCTAATTTTCGTTGTTTTGGCTTTATCAAAGTACTATCCGATAAATCTAAAAGCAAAGAAAGCTCCATAAATATCACATTACCCCAAGCCCAAGTTTGTTCTATGCCATATCAACCTATTCAAAGTGACCATGGGAAGTAAAAGCATTTCAGTGATCCAAAAAGAGAACAGAAATATAGAAATTATTTCTCCCTAGAAATAAGAAACACTCTGCTTAGCAAAGGTTCAGACTGACTGATCTAGGAACATCTGTGTCCTCATCCTGGAACAACCCTCCACCCTGCATCTCTCTTCTTTCATTGGTGAGTTACTCCCAGAATCTCCATTTTGGGGAAGAGTCCAAGGCCACCCACCCAATTTCATTCTTCTCTCAGTTCTTCTTCTGCCTCTATAGATTTTGCCACCATTCCATTAAGTCAGTATACCTCCCAGCTTTTCAGATTCTTTTTATGTGTCATCTTTCCCTATTAGAATGTAAGCTCTTCGCAGGCAGGGGTTATCTTTCTTTTTGCTTATATTTGTATCTCCAGCAATCAAAGCAGTGTCTGCATAGTAATTGCTTGTTAGGTGACTAATAATGTTTTAAAAACATAATCTTTTTAGGGTCAGTCTTGGGCTAAATCAAAGTAAATAATTTCTAGTATCCCTTTCATTTTTCCTTTCTATTTCTCCATCTCTTTTTTTTCCTCTCCCCTTAGGAGTCTACCTTCCACCTTTTTACTGCAGTGACTTATCCAAGTACCTTCCAGGCTACACCCCATGCTCTGAATCTCCACTCCCATTTAAAACCTGATATATGCTCCATTTCCCCACCCCACCCCCTTCACTAGATGGAACCTGTTAAATTGGAGCCTGGCAAAAGGTACTCGATACTTAGGCTCCGCGGATGAAGATTCATTGCTCATTCCTCACAGTTTACATTCAGGATTCAATCAGGATTTGATTCCCAGTGAGGAACTCCCCCTTACCATGCAGAATAGCACCTTCTCTGTGATAGTTTTAAACAGTTGCCCAAAACATTGAGAGGTAGGTAAAGTGACTTACCCAGCATCACATAGCAAGTGTGTTTCAGAGATAGGGCTTGAATTCAGGCCAGCTCTTTATCCAGTACACTATATACTGCCTCTTATGGAAAATAATCTAAGCTATGCTTTGGACCATGGACCAAGGTTTCAGGTTCTAATTCTGTCTCTATCACTGATGAGTTCTGTGACTATGAATAAATTACCATTTACTAAAACTCAGCTAGATAACACATTAGAGTTGAACTCTTAGGTGTTTCTATAGTTCCATAACAAACATTTTCATTATTATTATACCCTTCCAGATGAAACCTTCATTTCAAAAGGCATTTTTGGGACATAATGTTTCAACCCAAAAGGAATGTAAACTGGAATCTCAGGTGCTGTAACAGGACAGAAAATGTTTGACAACATGTAATACCTTTAGAGTTCCACAAGTGACACCCCCTGTTACCTACTATCAGGGGCAACAATTGGTAAAGCACTGGTAGTGGAGTCAAGAAAACCTGGGTTCAAATCCAGCCTTAGATACTTACTAGCTGTGTGACCTCAGGCAAGTCACTTAATATCTGTTTGCCTCAGTTTCCTCATCTGTCAAATGAGGATAATAATAGCACCTACCTCCCAAGGTTATCATGAGGATCAAATGAGATAATGTGGTTGGCACATAGTAAGAGTTTTATAAATGTTAGCTATTATTACCAGTCAGTCCTACATAGTCCCTTATTTTAGTACAAATACATGCGGCCCCTAGAGTCTATAAAATGGGATCCCCTCCACCACACGCATAGAAGTGAAACCATACTATATAATAAGGTCTTTTTTGCTCTTCACAAATGAAACATCCTTGGATTATGATATGGGATAAACTTACTTCTAGGATCATGAAAGCATAGAAAATAACAATAGGACTATCTTCTCAAAGGATCAGTGTAAAGAGAGTGCTATCTCAACATGAGCTTTGATCATTCCCCGGTAGAGTTTCATAGATTTAGCCCTGGGAAGGACTTCAGAAGCCACCTACTCCAAAAAAACTGATTTTAATGCAATGAGATCAAAGGTCACACTGGTAATAAATGAAAGAGCCAAGATTTGAATCCAGGTCTTCTGTTTCCGTATTTGGCACTTTTCCCCCACTATACCAATCTACCACCCTTAGAAAGAGCTATGACATGGAAGACAGATTAGGTGTGGACTAGACATGAGGCAGAAGTTGCAGAGAAGTAAATTAAGGCTTTACCTAAGGACATTCAGGTCTGTTTTGTCTGAATACATAGGACAGTTTTAAAGGACGTCCCACAATAGTTTCTTAACACCTAGAACTAGACAGAAGTAGAACCGATGACCTTAGGAGGCATTAGGTTCCCCCTGCCTGGAGGCCTGTGAGATGACACCTGTCAGGCAAGTCATACAGAGGATTCTGGACCAGGTTTGACTCAATGGCCTCTGAGAGTCTTTTTGACTGCATGATTCTTCATGAATTAAATCCTGCTCCCTCCTGAGGTCAAGCCTTACAATTCTAGCTAAACGTTTCTGTTTTAATGCCCTACCATAACCTTATAGCCACCTTGGTCAAAATTAGACATCTCCATTTCCATCCCTGAATGCCACCTATTATAGGTTAAGAGATGCATGGTACAGTAAAAATAATTCTCCATAATTATATATCATTTATTTTACCTGATACTCCCACATTTTGGGGTTTTCGCTTGAGGATGGCACTTTTCACTGAGGATTTGGGAGCTGCAGTCTAAAAACAAAATAATAACAATAATAAAAAACAAAAAAACCAGAAGCTATGAAACTGCCTCTTTTATATTAAAAATACCAAAAAACTAGACCATATTTTCCTCTAAAGTTAAGCACATGACTGTATCAAAATACTTATATTGAGATAAATCAATAATAATTAAACTGTACCATTGATAAATCCTCTGTGACATCTGAGTACTCTGGGGAAGATATATCATCTAATGGGGATATACTTTGGACTTTGGAGTCAGAGCCAAGAAAGAAAAAGGATAAACAAATACATTAGGCAATGATTAGACAGTTAATAGTTTTCATATATTAACTTGCATTTTAGATGGAAAAAATCATTTTTGCCTATTTTTTAGGGAGTTTCTGGCATACCATTGTTACAGAAGCCAAGGGTATTGAGTCACCATGGGTCAGAGTTATGTAGACTATAGAACTGGGGCTACCAGAGCTAATAGTTGGAAACACTTTACCATTGCCTTTGTATCACTGTGAATCATATTCTCCTTCTTCCTTTTTTTTCCTTCCACCTACTCCATTCTTTTCTTTACTTGCCTTTCCCCATTCCCTTTCTTCTTTGCTTATGTCTTAGACCTGCCAATGGCACCTATGGATCATGACAAGTAAAAGCTATGGAGCTTTACTAATAAGAGAAAAAGAAGAAAAATTCATTTTCACTTTCTTCCACCCAAATTGATCTCAAAGGTTGGAATGAAAGCTCAGTGCCCTTCTCTCTGCTGAGGATAATGGAAGGAAAATTGAATTTCATCTTTTCATTTTTCTAAGATAATCAGAAAATAACATAAAAGGTGAAAAAGCCTTCCCTCCCCACCCTGACACACACTCCAGCAATCCAATTAAGTATAACAAATGAGTAAAAGAACAAAGTTGGGGACATACAGGGCTTCTTCTTGGCAGAATCATCAGGTGTTAGGAAGACTGTGCTACCCTGGAATTTTACCACAGGAAAGTCTGAGTTTTTTTCATTGTTTTGCCTCAAGATCCTTTTTCCCACTGGTGTTGTCTAAAATAGAGTTGATTTTATTTTTTAAAATAGCACCTTGATACTTTTTCACGAACAACAGAATTAACAATAAGAAGTTGTTTGACCTCTACAACATCCTTCAAGTCTCTTAGAAAAGGTTCATGGGTTCCAATATTTTTTTTCAAATGAAATAAATTCCAAAATATACACCAATAACACAAATACCTCATGGCTGAATGTTTATCTCAAGTTACATCTAGTCCAAAGAATAAAAATAAATCTATAAGTATATATGCAATGACACCTCTAAATTACAATCCTCCTCTAAATCTTTTTTTAAATGTATTTTATTTTCAATTTGTGGAATGAAACAAGCATTTCCATAAAACAGTACAATAAAAAAGATGATTGCACATGAAACTGCAAATCTACCCTGTATAATCTGTTATTCTCTCCAAATATACAAGTTATCACATAAATTTATTTTTTCCTTTTTCCTTTCCTCTCTCCCCCCTCCCCCTGCTCTAGAGATGGCTACCATTAGACACAAATAGGGGTGTGTGTGTGTGTGTACATATACATACGTATGCATATATACACACATATATACATATGTGTATGTGTGGGTATAAACTATTCTATATGTACTCCTATTTATCAGTTCTTTCTCTGGATACAGATAGTATCTTTCTTCACATGTCCCTTATTTTTCATTTGTGTATTTATAATAGTCAAAATGACTTAGTCACTCAAAGTCATTACAGGTGGGGAACTGATTCTGAACACTAAAACTTATAGGGAAATCAACAATGCACAGTTTTGGTTTTTTTTTTTAAAGGCACTGAAATGATAAAAAGATTTTCCCCAGTGGCACAGTTTGGGAGTTTCTCAATTTCAGCCTCAAGTGAATCTCCATGTAGTAAGAATTGTTCTCTACCTTTTCTTTTACATAACATTATTACAGGTAAAATCAGGTAATTCTTTGCAAGATTTATGTCGCATTCATTGTATTAAGGAATAAAACAGCCTTGAAGGTTAGAAAAAAATCTACAAATCTAAAAACAAAGTTCTGGGGAAGGGCACATGAGAAGTCATGCTAAGGGCAAAGAATAACTTTAATGCTAACAGTTTTAAATCTATTCCTGCAGCACTAATATTGTATTTCTGCTGGCTGCTGTCTCTCACTGCCCTAAAAAACACAATCACCCTAGCATTAGTATATGAAAGGAGCACCAAAGAAATTCAGTAGGTTAGTCAACATATATCTAAGGATGAAGATATTGGGCCCAATCTGAAAAAAAAATTGAAAAAAATAGATTTTGCAATCAATATCAATTTTACTTGTAATGCTAAAATCTGTGGAAAGAATAAACAATTATGTTTGCTTTAAAAAGAAAAGCATTAAGTCAGGTTGTGGCAAGCATCTGAAAGTGACTCAGATTTTTAATAACATTTCTACTTCGTCAGAAGTTCCTGGGGCTATTCAATTGTTAGAATTTCTAACATTCAAAATCCATTCTAAATGTGTTTGTTATGAAATCTTTGCAGTTTCTGAACAGGGCAGGTGCTGATTGTGCACAGACACATGGCTGAATTTTTCATATTTTTTCACATCTAAAAAAAAAAAACTAAGCTACTCTAAAAATTCCCATGCAATAGCTTCATTTCCACAGTTATTTCACCTGAACACAAGACCATGGACTTTTCCCATTTTGTATTTGATTCATCTGAATGAAATCTGACACTCATTCCACCCTGCGGCTGAGTCCTCTCTTATGTGCAGCCTTCCCCACTTAGAATGTGAGAGCAGGGGTTGTTCTGCCTCTGTATCCTCAGTGCTCAGCCCTGAGCTGAGTTTAAAAAGTGCTTCCTAAATTGGAACACAGCTACTTACTTTGACCTTTCGGCGATCACTGCCACTACTTGAAGGTGACAATGGCAAAACTGAAAAAGAAAAACAAGTCTCCAGCACATGGCTTTATTTCCCAAGGAACAGACTAACCCCTATACCCATTATTATAATTCTCTACTACTTATCACATTTTCTCCAAACTACTCCTCCTTCCACTTAAAGCCCTCGATATCTGAACCTATCTTCCCAACACAATTGGGTCCATTCTATTCAAGCTGTACCTTATTGTACCATAAGCACTTGTTCCACACTTGTCATTGTGACTGTGCCTTCTCTCATGCCCTTTTCTCCACCTCTGGAATACCTACCACTTATCCAAAACCTGTCCACTCTTTAGGGGCAAGTGAACTCTCATTTCTTACTCAACTCCTTTCTTGACTACTATAGCCTTAACTAATTTTTTTCCCTCCTCTTCTTAATGCTTCTAGTCAAGTTAGTCAACAAGCATTTATTAAGCACCTACTATATGCTTATGGCAAATCCAGTCCCTGTCCTCAAGGAACTTACATTCTAATGAGAGAGACAACATGCAAGCAACTATAGTATTTAAAGTTCTGAGTTTGGTGTTACAGGGTAATTATATCATGTTGTTATTGTTTTGTGTGTTGAACATGCATAAACAGTTAGAGAAGGTAGAGGACAGGGAAATCATTATAGGCATCTGTATCACCTTATAGCATCTAGCACAGTACTCAACACATAGCAGACACCAAAGAAATACTTGTTACTGATTGGCTTATAGTGGGTTTGTGAGGTAGGTAAAATATTAAACTTACCTCTTAATTTACTTCTGACTCTTGGCTTTTTCTGCTTCGAATATGTTTTTAAGTTTTTTTTCTTTTGGGTATTGATCCAAGAGCTTCCACTCATATCATTGCTGGTTTCATTATTACTTTCAGAAAACAGGTGCTTCCTAACATCATCAAACTTACAAAGAGAGAAGTTCAATCTGAAATCTCAGAAAATTATCACAAACATCCATGGACTAGTAAAATATATCTCCACAATCAAAGTGAGGGCATTAACTTGTTCCAGATGTCTGGATTCTCTATCTGGTGCTGTGCTCATTTAAGGTAATGGGGGCATATACAGAGGCAGAAGGGACAGTCGAGAGAGCTAACCCCCTAAAAAGTTTTTAAGCAGGTGAATATAACTATAAAACATGACTATACAATTAAATGTTAAACACTTGCACCCTGAATGTAATTGATGTGTTCTCTCTCCTCAAAAGGCTGCATGAACAGAGCCTTGAGTTCAAAATTCTGCCTTTTGATGACAAAAAAATCCAAAGTTTAAAAATAATTTTAGAAGGAAGGTACATTCCTTAGTTTTATGGAAGGACAAAAGGTTATCTGTTCTATTTAGAAGGGTCTTGAAAGTTATATGCCAATAACTTTGGATTTAGGATGTGTTAGCTCTTCATGGCAAGGTGAAATTAAGTACTGACCAATCACTTAAGAAATATTTATTAAGCACTTGCCATGTATCAGGCTTTGTGCTAAATGCTGGGGATACAAAGAAAAAGAAAAAAAGCAATACCTGTCTTTGAGGAGCCTCTACTCTAATGGGGAGACAATTATGCATATATATCAGTATATATGAGATACATACAGAGTAGATACAAGGTAACCTTATAGGAAAATGAACTAGCAGGTGGGGGACCAAGACAAGCCTCCTGTAGTAAGTGGTGAGCTGAGTCTTGAAGGCAGGGATGCTAGGAGACAGAGGGAGAACATTTCAGGTATATAGTACAGAGACTGCATAGGCACAGAAAAGCAAGATAGAGTATTACGTGTGAGGAAAAGCAGAGGCCATGATGGTTGCACTATAGAGGGTATAAAGTATAAGGATGCTAGAATAGTGTAGTGCATGGCACTGATCCCTGTTTTCCTCTCGAGGCTCTCAGGGGCAGGCTCACTCATTTGAATCTGTACTCAAATGTTAGTAACGTAGAGGGTTCCCAGTGTTGGTGGCCAAAGCTACAACTACTACTAATTCTCAGAGTTCTAGCAGTAACTCAAAGTGAGGAGCTTAAATTCTAATTACTGAATACTCTACTTTCTGAGCCCCTACCAACGTGCTCCCCATTTGACGAGTTGGGTGGCCAAGTACACTAATTCTTAATCAGAAACATTGAAAAAGCAGAAGATAATACAAGAATGATACATTCCATCCGTAAACCGAGGACACATTTTCTGACCAAAGCATAGTACTCAAGACGGACACTTAGATATAAGCTTATAGAACCATAACAGGGAGGCACATCAATGGGAACAAGTACTCCTCTGACAACTCAGCTCTGGACTGTGGTCCTTGATGTCCTATTTCCTCCAGGATCAGTTTACATAATAGTTCACTGATAGGTAGGGCCACTTCTCCATTGCCTGCTCCTCCTCTGGGCTGCTGAGGTCGTGCTATGCTCCTTCAGTAAAAAGTAGAAACCCTAAGCCTATCATGTGCAGAACTTTCCTAGGGCTGCTCCTTTGGCCAGGTTCCAAGAGATTTCCACCCTCAGAGAGTGGCAGAATAGGGAAAGGCAAAGCCATTTAGCTCTTCCAAGCAGCAGAGGCAAAGATTTTCCTCCTCTAGTTAACACTCCCAAATAACAGATGGAAGTAAAACCTCTGAAATCTCCTCCAAGACCCAACTGGAGTTCTCTCCTGAGATCAAACTCAATTTCTCTGAGGTCTAGTGAGTTCCCTCTGCCCTAATGATCCAAAGTAGGATTTCATCAGTGAGCTACCTCACTTCTATCTCATTGTAATAACCTAAAATCATTATTTCTGCCAACCAAGCCACAATGAGGCAATATTCATTTGTCACATAGTCAATTAGGGATCAGGATTTGCCAGCTCTAACTTTTCAGTCTTTATATGTGAATCAAATACTGGTCAAAAGTACACCAAAGCTCTCTTTATCCTGAATAAGTGGCCATCCTCCTATGGGCTATTTTCTCAGCTTTTCTCTCACAATTTTCCTTGCTTGTGTCCCCCTTCCAATTAGCAAACTGATCCATATCTGACAGAGGCCAAGTTGTGAAGAACTCTAAAAGCCAAAGAAAGTTCTATTTGATTCCAGTGGAATAGAGAACCACTGGAGTTTATTGAATAGAGGAATGATATGGTCAGAGCTGTTCCTTTGGGAAAATGCTTTGGCATCTGTGTGCAAGATAGATCAAAGTGGGGAGAGACTTGAAGCAAAGAGACCAGTTAGAAAGCTATTGCTATGATCCAGGTGAAGAGTGTCTGAACTAGAGTAGTAGCTATGTAAATGGAGAGAACATGGCATGGCTGAGAAATATTATGGAAATATAAGAGACAATATTTTGTAACTGACAAGCTATGTGAAATGAGAGTAAAGAGTCAAGGAAAACACTGGGAATGTTGTGCAGACTGAACCTGTGTGACTGCAAGGATTGGTGGTACCTTCAAAAGTAATAAAGATGTTTGGAAGATGGGTAGGTTTGAAGAGGAAATATGAGTTCTGTTTTGGACATGTTGGGTTTGAAATGCATACAGGCAAGAGTGTTGTCCTGATAAATGAGTAACATCCAACACTCCAGAAAAATAAGTATGACACATTTAAGTTTAATCTGAATTACTAACAATTTAGAATTAGATTTCTTAAATATAGACAATCAACAAAAAACCCTAATTTGTAGTGTTTGCCCATTTCAGAGGTATAAACGCTCACACTGGACATTTAATAATTAGTTCTCACAAGCCAATACAGCCTGGCTCCACCACACCCCTGCCCATGGGACATCCAGTTGGAAATATCCAATAGGCAGTTCATGCTTCAAGATTGGAATTCAGAAAAGAGACAAAGCTTCATTTATAGATCCATGAGTCATCCACATAGAGGTGGTAATTGGACCCATAGAAACCAACAAGGTAACCAAGTGAGGGATTGCAAAGAAAGAAAAGAGACAAAGATAGAGCCTTTGGGTACAAATACATTTAGTGGGCACAATATGGATAAAGAACCATCAAAGGACACTAAGAAGGAACAACCAGACAGGATGGAAGAGAACTAAGAGATAGCAGTGTCTCTGAAAAAACTCAGAAAGGAGAGAGTGTCCAGGAGGAGAAGGTGAATGATGATGTAAAATGCTTCAGAGAGGTAAAGAAGGATGAGGATTGAGAAAAAATGATCTTCATTTGGCAATTAAAAGATCATTGGTAGCTTTCAAGAGGATAATTTCAGTTGAATGAGAGCCCAGATGCTAGAATGCAGAGAGCTCATAAGAAAATGAGAAGAGAGGAAGGAGAGGCACCAAGTGTAGACAATTTTTAAAAGAAGTTTGGCTGAGAAGGGGAGGACAGAGGACAGCAGCTAAGAGACACAGTGGGGACATAGCAAGGGTCTTCTAAGGATGGAAGAAACTTGGAAAGAAGTATATAGGAAGAGATTAAATAGTAGAGAGGAGGGGATGATAATGGGGACAATCTGGTGGGGGAAAATGGGAGGAGACAGTATAAAGGGTACATGTAAAGAGTTTGGCTTCAGCAAGAAGAGTCACCTCTAAGAGCTATTAAAAACTAGTGACATGACCAACATGTTTGTGGTTCTTTGTGTTAGGTTCTAAATCATGTATTATTTATAAATATAACAAGAAGCTGATATTTAGTCTAGGTTTCAAAGAAGATTCACATTTTGAAAAGAAAAATAATTTAGCAGGGAAAAGTAATTATTCTTGACTCAACTAACCAAGCCCATGGGAAATCTAGATGTTCTGACTATAACATTAATCATCTGAAGAACACTGATTCTAATTGCAGGACAAGTACTTTGAAGGAATAAGACACCCTTTGGTTTGATATTCTTGTGGCACCCAACATAACCTTATAGGAACCATCACAAATGGGCTATCATGGTTCAGGTGAAAAAAAATTAGACCTGTAGTCAACAGACTTATTGTTTGTTGTTGTTCAGTTATTTCAGTCATGTCTGACTCTTTGTGACCCTGTTTAGAGTTTTCTTGGCAAAGATACTAGAATAGTTTGTCATTTTATTCTCTAGCTCATTTTACAGATGAGGAAACTGAGGCAAACAGGATTATTGACTTGCTCAGGGTCACACAGCTAGTATCTAAGGCTGGATTTAAAATCAGGAAGATAAGCCTTCCTGACTCCAGACCTGGCACTCTATCCACTTCACCACCTAGCTACCCAACCATAGTCACTTAACTGTACTTAAGTCACTAACTTCTGTCATTCAGAGAGTTCATATCTTTGTGTTGAGGAGAGGCCCAATTCTCCTCCCAATCTCACACACACATTATACACAAATTGATAACAAAGAAGACAACCATAGAAGGAGCTTTCTGAACCAATATGCCTATCTTCTCCCACTTTTATATTAAAGGGAAAAGTTATCCAAAGTCCTGAAAATCATTGTTGTACATTCTGGTGTACAAGACAGAAACTCCATATTGCTATCAGGCTTCCCTCATTCCCGTACTTCAAAAGATCTATGATCTCATGATTATAGGGAGAAAGGCCTGGCACATGATAGATACTTCAAATATTTGTTCCTTTCCTCCTGCCCCTAAAATTAGATCCTAGATCCTTTCATCTCCACAAAGATAAAAAAAGTTTGTCTGGGTTGGGATATTCACCATTTGGGAGGCAGATTTACCTATAATCAAATTAGGTAATATTTATAAAGCTTTCCCATAAAATGGCACAGATCCTAATCCAGCCAAACTTTCTTATCTTACACAATTCTTACCCATGAGGTTTCATAAACCCTCCATGGAGGGTCCACCCAATGTATGGGAGGAATTTTAAGATTCTATGAGTAGCAGAGCGGCAGGATTTGGATCCTATGCTTTTCCTGCTATACACCATGCTGCCTTCTTGGTCTGAATCCATCTGGTCTCTCCATCTTCATCCTCTTTGAGGTCATTTCCACTTTCTTACATTAAGAAGGCTATAAGGAAGCAAGATGCTGGAGTCCAAAAGTGGTGATTATGTTTTCACCATTGAAGAACACACTTTGCTATACAAATGATTATAGTTCTGTTCTCCTTTGTATCTGACTTAATTAGATTTTATGCAAAGTTTTCTATAAACTCACTATTTCCTTCAAGGCTTCTTGTTCTTTTTTTTTTTTTAAAGATGATACTGAATGTAGCCTTCCATCATCCTCCATAACTTGTTGCAAATTAATTTATTTAAACAGTATTACATATATTCCCATACTTTTTTGCCCCGTTCTCATTTTAAAATGAGAGGAAATGTGAAGAGATATTAAAGAAACCATATGCTAAAATGCATTGCTTCCTTCCTAAATCATCCATTTGAAGCACGTGATAAACCATTTTAAAAGTCATTAATTTTAGCAGTCAATATGGCCTAGAGAAGGGGAAATCCACTGACTATATAAGTACAGAAGTTATACTTGGTATAAGCTGTACTTACCAATTTTCCTTCTCCTTGGCTTTTGTAACTGCTGAAAGTAGAGCTGTCCCTAGGCAAAAATTGTAAATTAAGAGAATTTTGCATTCTCTATCTCTCACTCACTGACCCAGTATTTTGTCCTGGCTGCTTAGGAGTCAGATTTTAGATCTCCATGAGGCTTTACCTTCTCTGGGTAGTGCCTATGCTTCAGACCTTTCCATTTCCCTTTTCAAAGTTTATTATATCTCATTCTCTCAGGCTCACTGGTAAGGGACAGGAATCATATAAACTAACCCATTTCCGTGTATTGATGAATTATACTTTCTAAGGCAACATTAACATTTTAATAATAATAATAGCTAGCAGAGCACTCTACAAATATTACCTAATTTTATCCTCACAATAACCTTGGGAGGTAGATATTATTATTTCTATTTTACAGATGAGGAAACTGAGACAGAGTTCAAATGACTTTCCAGGATCACATAACTAGTGTCTGAGGCCAAATTTGAACTTAGGTCTTCCAGACTACAGGTCCAATACCACCTAGCTGCCTTAAATGTTTTCTGCAAACATCATGCTTCAACTCAAAGATGGAACATTGACGGTGGCAATTTCAATAGAATGGAAAATATTTTTGAGTAGATCCTGAGGCAATGAAGAAACAACAAATTGGTGGCCTAGTCTGCCTCCCATAGGGTTAACCTTGCCTGAAAATAAGACAAACTATATACTTATTCTGACCTTAAAAATGTTTTATTATGAACCGGAATAATTCTTGTAAACATGTTCACACACAAAGTGCAGAAAAAGAGGATTGCATATCAAACAGTGAAAAACTGTTTTGTTTTGTTTCATATTTAACAGGGTAGTATCAACATTGCATTACTCATGACCCTTTCTGAACTTCATCCTTGTTATTCTGACCTTTCCAAGTAGGACCAAGGACCCTGGAAAGGACACTGGGTTGGAAGCCAAATTAAAGTCTTGCCCTGCCAATGCCAATATATAAGGGCAAACAACTCATTTCACTGCCTCATCTTCTTCACTAGGCAAAAAGGGGGAATTTTAGTTGCCCCAGTAGCCTCACAAGTTATGATCAAATGAGGTCAAATAGGCAAAAGTACTTTTGAAAAAGCCAAAAGTTCCACCAAAGGTAATGTGGCATAATTTGACTTATTAATAAACTCTAGAAAAGTTAGAAGTCAAAGGGAGGAAGTAGCTGTGACAATGCTAGTTGATTTAAGGCAGAGAATGGACCAAATCTCACATTTACACCAATGTCCATGGGGTCACTTTAAGTCTGGGGGCCATATTGTCGAGAAAAACTTCCTATTGATTAGAGCTGTCCTAATGTAAATGGGCTGCCCCAAGAGGTAGAGACTTCCCTCATCTTGGAGGTCTTCATACCTGACCACTTCTTAAGTATGGTATAGTGGGAAATCCTTTCACTGATTATCTTGGACTGGATGGCCACTGGGATCATTGCCAACTCTCAGATTCTGTGACTACGGGAATGAAAGAGTATCATATTTACCTAAGTGGAAGATTTCCTCTCAAAAGAAAAATTCTAAAATTAAAATAGAAAGATTCAAGCCCCTGTGATTGCAATCTCCATCTCCCCTAGTTTCTAATAATCAGATGAATTGTCATTGATTTCAGATCTGCAATCCCATTTGATTTGGTTAGATCCCCAGATTACAGAGCCAGAGCTGAAAGAGGCCTTAAAGGCCACCTAGTTTGATCTTCTCATTTCACAGTGACTAGAAAGTTAAAATGATTTGTCCAAGGTCACTTAGGTAAATGACAGAGGGTAGATTTGAACCCAGGTCCTCTTGCTCTAAATGAATCATTCTTTTTGCTGTATACATTGCTTGTATGGTAATTTAAGTAGATAAAGGAAGATTAGACTAGCAATTACACTCAGTTAAATAAAGGCAGATGGCATGAGAGGGAGAAGTCTGGTGTCTTATTTCTTCAAATGATTCCAATACTGCTTCTGCACCTCATCAGGACGACCCTCCTTTAAGTTCTAATCTGATGCTTCAACATATTGTAAGAGTGACCCTGGTTTCTTGAAGGTCATGTGAGTGAAGTCCAAGCTCTGGCAAGGCCTCCCAAGCTTGTTACTTAGTTGTATCAAACTCTTTGTGATCTCATTTGGGATTTTCTTGGCAAAGATACTAGAGTGGTTTGCCATTTCCTTTTCCAGCTCATTTTACAGATGAGAAAACTGAGGCAAACAAGGTTAAGAGACTTGCTCAGGGTCACACAGCTAGCAAGCGTCTGAGGCCAGATTTCAACTCTGGACGATGAGTCTTTCTGATACCAGATCCGGAGCTCTATCCACTGTGCTGCCTAACTGCAAGCTAGGAAGGATTTAAGAATATGCTCAGCTTTAAGCAGCATCCAATATCTGAGCTGCTAGTTAGTTGCAAACCATAATAATAATGGCGACTAACATTTCTATAACGTTTGTTATGTGCCAAGCATCGTGCTAAGTACTTTACAATTATTACCTCGTTTGATCCTCACAACTGGGAGGAGGTAGGGGCTATTATCCCCATTTTACAGATGAAGAAACTGAGAAAAATGAGGGTTTAAGTGATTTGCAAGCATCTGAGGTTGGATTTGAACTTCCTGACATGAAGCCCAGTGCTCTAGTTCAGAAAGGCTTATCATTGAAAGGGCAGTCACCAAGTGAATAACTTTGTTTTTGCCACAAAAGCTCCTGGACACTCTCTCTCAAGGTGGGGAGGGGTTGTGATCTATCATGAGGGAGTACAAACCCCCGGAGGAATCGTAGATCATTTGAAATATTAAAGTAATCTATCATTTATGATAATACAAAATAGGGGAGTGAATATGTACTTTTGAATACCAAATTTTTTTGTGTTTTTTTTAAATTAAAAAGTAGTTTAATTTGGCTCCAACTATAAGAGGCAGATTGCTTCCAGAAAGTCAGTTTACAAGCTCTCTACTCCTCTTTCCTCAACTGTAAAATGAAAAGATTCTCTGAAATTCTTTGTAGCTTTAACCCTGTATTATCCTAGCAGAATCATGCACAACACACCTCTTTTTCTTGGATGACTCTTTGTGGCTGAGAATCCTCTGCTTTGCTTCAACAACCTAGAACACAGACCAAGTTAATCACACTTCAGTCTTCAAAAACAATTTGACGTCATTCTCACATTTTATGGAAATGTCTTATCACTTTTCCTGACCTTCCTAAATTGCTGGCAAATTTGAGAGTGATAAATTCTAACATACATCAAAAGAGTCATTTGGTTTTCAACAACAAAACCCTTTCGCATATAATTGCAATTGTCTATAGTATTTAAAAGGAAATTGAAAAGTGTATGATCTTATGAGAATACAGTAATATTGAGCACTAGAAGCTTTTTGGACTCAGACTTTTCATTCAGGCAGAGGAAACGAGGTCACTTTTTGCTAGGGGTGTAAGAAGAAGCCCACAAGGTAGGAGTTATGCTCTTCTCCATTTCGTAGGATGCAACTTAACGAAATCAAGTGGATTCTCTCAGAGTAGAATTGAGTAAAATTATTCTTCCTGGTAATGTGGCCCAATAAAAGGAAAGCCTGCCTTGGAGTCCTGAAGACGTGGGATTCAAATCATGCTTCTGACACATAGTGGCTGTCTGACTCTGGGCAAGTCACGTAAACTCTTGGTGCAGCAAGCACATCTATTAAGTCCTGGAAGAGATGCCAATCTCTACTGATAGAGGGAGGCTCCTCACCGGGAGCTTCCTACGTCAATGAAACGGGCACAAATTAAAATGTATCTCGGAGGTGGAAGAACCGAAAGTATAGTTGTACTCTGATGCTGAATACATTCTTCCTAATGGCCTGGTACTGCAAGAAAGTGGCTAGTTTTTTGTTGTTTTGGAGCTAGGATAATCCTGAATAGAAAAACCACTAATGAAACATTTTGAGTATGTTCAGTTTAACTCTGATTTTTTCCTGATGCTCAAGATTAACACAAAAACATTTAGTTCAATATTCTGTAGATGGTCAGACTCTTTCCTGATTTCCAGGAAACAATATGAGTCAGAAGAATAACTAACTAGAAGGAAGAAACTAGAAATATTACAGTTAATATGTCAGAGGCCTTGAAGAAATGACAACACCTAGTGATTACAATTAACTGTGAATACTGGCTACTACACAGGTAAGTTCTTGTAAAATGGTTTCAAACTTGCACAGAGCTTGAAAACACAAATCAAGATACAGAATGCTCTTTTATGTCAGCTTACCACTTGAGAGTACATAGTATCAGAGTCGTTTTCAAAGTCATAAGGATTCTCTCTGGAAAGAAAAAGCAAATGTATTAAAGTGTACAAAATGTATAAGATGCAAAGACAAATTAACAACAGTTTTGTAGCTAATGAAGATAATAATGGGGAGTATTTAGGGAACAATAGTGGGGAGTATTTAGGGAAGTCCAGCTGGGAAAGTGCATGTGTATGTATGTATATTTTTTGAAATCAAAGCACCAGATCTAAGAACTACTACATGATTACAGCTCAATAGCCAATTTAAAGTGTCTGAATAAACATGATATTGGGGTGTCTCACCTTAAATCCTATGGTTCAAAATTCTTGCAAAGTTCAGTAATTTTACTTCAATATAGACTTACATTTCAGTTTTTGAAGTCTTTCTGAGATAATTAGACCAGTGATTCTCTAAGATATGTGCAAAATTTCAGCTAAGCACACTGAAAATTGTAATGAACTTAACATATGCAGTCACGTGTGCATGAGGCAGTCTCCTGAGTCTTTGTAGTGTGCTGAATTTCCCCGTGGTTTTTGCCATGAACAACCAAAAAAAAAAAAAAAAAAAGTTGAGAACTACTGTTAGATGGTTGCCCTACTCTACCATCTAGTGGAAAAAGCTATGAACTGAAGGGTCTTTTTGAAGAGTGATAACTCTCAGATCAAGAACATTATTTGAATGCCACTGATTAATACAGAAAAAGGTAGCAACAGCTCAAACTTCCCTAGACAGCCTCGTAAAGAGTCCTTAGGCACTCAATCCCTATTGGACTTCTAGAGTCTATAAAAGGAAAAAAAGATTTATTTATTAAATTTACTTAAATCTTGAATATTAATTTTTGAGCAAACATATGATAGCTACATTTTGTAGTTCTATGCATATACTTTGCAACAGAGGTGTCAAACTTGCTATCAGTAGACCTTGAGGAGGGGGGTGATGAGGAGAGGTGAACCAGGTTAAAATTGGGAAATGTTTAACAAAATAAATAAAAATAAAATACAACTTGGATAATGTTAATATGTGATTTTCTAAATCACTATGGTCAGCAATTTGTGCTTTATAAATGATTTTAAAACTATTTAAATATGAACCATTATTACTGTAGATTTATGTCCTTTTACTGATCTTCGCATAATTTTACTAATTTAAATTATTGCCATTTATACTTGCTGTATACTTTTGCTATATTTCATATCATTTAAATCCTTGAATGAAGACCCACCCCCAAATTACATCATTGGATCATATTCTTCCAGAGGGACATTGTAATAATCTATTTCATGACAAGGTTAATATATTACTAAGACCACATTATGACATAAAAGAAGAAATGGTTTATAATGAACATCTAAATTTATAAATAGATTTTTAAGGAGGAAGTATGGTTGTTTACAAAGATTTCTCACAAGACTCCCTTTACATATTGCATTTTGGCGTTTTAAATATTCAATATCCTTTTTTTAAAAAAAAAATTCATGTTGTGTACAGTGAGATGGACTTGTATCGTTTAGTAAGAAGGTAAATAGATGGGAAATGGGATAGGGTAAGCCAAAACTCCAGCTACATTTGGATACTTAAGTGACTACAGTTAATTAACCGTTTCTTCATGATTTTAAAGAGAGATTAAAGAACAAATTAACATGTTAACATCTCTGCACATTCCTGCAGTGGCATGAAACAAGAGTTCTAGTACCCAAAACTGCCTTTCCTCTCAACCATGGGATATTAGGTTGTTTTTCAAAGATTATTCCTTTGCTAAGTCTGTGATAAAAAGCTTTAGACCATCAACATATTTAGAATATGACTCAGTTCAAAGTTTGTCCTCATTCCCTGACGAGGTACAAGCATTTGGGGTGATAAATAGGGAAGGAAGTATTTGAGTTTCAGCCCCTTTTCTCTCTCCCTCTAAGGCAGTGCTCAAACTCAAGATCTATGAAATATCAAGGAAATAGCTTCTATATTAACTGTTAGGGTCATCTCATCTGGTACATTATTAGGCCAAGTTCAGGGTCCCTTTTCTACCATACCTAACCCTCCTTGATGGCTGCACTTTAAGGACATCACTGTCTAACATGATAAGTCACGTCTACACTCTCTACTTGTCACACATAAATTATTCTTTGCTCCTATTTAAGAAGAGGTTGCTTTAAAAAAATTATATTTTAAAAGCAGGTGTATGGCATTAAGGTTTAGCTTTAATGTTAAATAAACAAGGGGCACCATACTTTGTTTCAGGAATGTTCTTGCTCGAACTTGTTCCTTTTCTTCTCTCCTCTAAACCATCAGCCTGAAAGAAGTTTAAGTTTTAGTGAATTAAGCCAAAAACCAAAAGCACTGCTAGTAATTATTCTTATGATTGATGAAAACTTCTATCAATACAGAAATAGCCATGAATTGATGCAGGATTGTGTGCAAGATACACAATTGTGTAATTGGAGCTAACAAAATGAAAAATAAAACATAGAAAAAATAAAATGGGTGTCATATTGAACACAGAAAACCAGAACTTAAATAGTAAGAAATAATTCAAAACTATTAGAGGATAGTAATACTAATGTTAACTCATTTAAATATGTATTAAGTGCCTACTGTGTGGGCATCATACTCAGCACTGAGGGATGTACAAAGATGAGAGCATCAGGACTCTTGTCTTCAAGAAGATTACAAAATCTAGTGCAGGCTACCACACACACACACACACACACACACACACACACACACGCAAATAATTACAATCTAGTGCAGGATATGACCCGCACATAAATAAGTACAAAATAGAGTGTCCCAAAAATTTTAGTGCTGTTTTAAGTTATTGTAGTTGAAAAAATACCTCACTAAGACTTTTGGGACATTCCGAGGTTTGAAGCTATTGAAGCTATTAAAACTTAAAACTACACTAAAGCTTTCGGGAGACCCTGTATAATACAGATCATATGGTGTACATAAAAGTTCCTGATTCAGTATGTTTAAACTATCTATCCTATTCTGCTGGGGACCTGAATCCCACATAGCAAGGCATCAAGGTAACAGCGTGTCTGCTTCATCACAGCCAGCATTCTAATCTCAGAGTTGCCTGCTGCTTGTGAGCTCTGATTTTGAACAAAGTAACCACCTCTCTGAGCCTCAGTTTCCTCATTTATAATATGGAGGGAATATTTGTACTCCGTCTCTCAGAGTTATTGTGAGAATCTACTAAGATAAAACATGTAAAATTCTGTCCTGAAGTATCAGCTGTAATTATTTCTAGAATGACTAGGAGAGCAGCAAATCCCCATCAACACCATCTCTCCTCACTTTAAACTAAAGCTAAATCAAGGTTCTGCCTGGTGGGTTGTTGTTTTTTTTTTTCTATTAAGCCCAGAAATCTACAAAAGGTAAATATGCCACCAACTCTAAACTGTTTTAAGAGAAAGACTAAAGAATAGCAGACAAGGGAAGCATCTTGGATTACTGAAAAGGTAAGTGAAACTGACATTTAACAAGAGAAAATGGATATCTAGATCATCTCACTAACCCTAAGTCTCAGTAGATAATTGTGTTTACTCCAAAATGCATACCGCCTCTGACCCTTTATTTCTGTGAGACTTGAATCTGACCAGTGCTAGAGGATCTCTAAATGGGAATATAAAATGCTAGGGGTAAGAGGGAGGTATTGCTCTCGACTGGGGTGACCTAGGAAGGCTTCCCTGAAGAAGTGCCATTTTAGCTGGGTACATAGGTAGAGAAAGGGAAAGAGTAGCAAACATTGTAGGCTAAGGGAACATTCAAAAGTAATATTCAATGATGTCACATTTTACTGTTTCTACATCAGCAATGGGGCAGCTAGATGGCACAGCTAATAGAGCCCCAGGCCTGAAGTCAAGAAAACTCATCTTCCCAAGTTCAAATCTGGCCTTTGACACTTACCAGCTGTGTGACTCTGGGTGGGTCGCTTAACCCTGTTTGCCTCAGTTTCTTCATCTGTAAAATGGACTAGAGAAGGAACTGGTAAACCACTCCAGTATATTTGCCAAAACCCCAAATGGGGTCATGAAGTGTCGGACATGACTGAAAAACTAAACCTCACCATCTTTCATCAGTCCTCATATCTCTTCTCACCCACTCACCACCTAAGTTCAAGATCTCTTCATGTTTCACTTGGATTGCTTAGCCTTCCAATTAGTCTCTCTGCCTCAAGTTTCTTCTCAATTCAGTTCATCCTCCATACTGCTGCCAGAGGATCTGATCATGACATGCCCCTAATCAATTTCAGTAGTTTCCTAATAGCATCACAAATAGGAACTCTAATGTTTAGCTTTTGAAAGCATTATCAACCTATCTGTCCAGCATCCATACACACTGCTTCTTGTCCTGTATTCTGCAAGCCAGCCCAATTGACAGACTTTCTCTCTTTTAATCACACTGGAGATATATAGATATATATAGATATAGAGAGAGAGAGAGAGAGAGAGAGATATCTATACACACACACACACATATATATACACACACATATATGTACACATACACATATATGTATGTGTATGTATGTGTGCATGTGTATATATACACACATAAACATATGTATATGTATATATATATAAATATGTGGTAGGTATATATATGTATATGTATATATAAATATATATTATATATTTCTTTAAATATATTATATAAATAAATAATATATAATATAATATATATAATAATATATATCATATAATATATAATATATAAATATATATTATATATATAAATAAATCATATGTAATATAAATTATATAATATAAATAAATTATATATAAATATAAATATATAAATATA